AAGTGCCGCCAGATCGGAGGATGACGCTTCCTTGTCTGATGATGCACAAACGGTGAGGAAAGAAGTTGCCGATAACAAGCAGAGAGATCAACCAACCCAAGCCTCTGTGGGCATCTCCAACACAGCAAATGGCGCAGCAAATCCAAAATCACATGCCTCTGAAAGCAAGGGGCAAGAACAGCCCGCAGTAGCAACTGAGGGGGGCGCGAGCTCTGGTGAGAATGAGGGGACGACGGGAGGAGCTGATGGGCAAGAGGAAGATGTCCAGCCACAGGATGGGGAAGCAAAGGCTGCGGCACTCGGCCCCGCACTCAAAAGCAGTCTCGGAAATTCGTCGGAGCGGGATGACGGCGTTGCTGGCACCATGCGTGAGAGCAGGGTGCTGCTGCCGCCGCTTTTTCTGCTGTTGGGACTCTGGGGGTTCGCGGCTCTGTGAGGAGCGTGCGGCCTCAGTGTGGGACACTTGCGCCCTCCCTCACACCGACACCATCCGGTAATGAATTACTCTCCGCAAAGAGAAATCCTTTTTTAAAATATTTTCCTTCTTTTGCTTTTGGGGGCAATCACGATGGACGTTTTTTTTCTTTTCCACTCTTCCCTCTTTAATTGTTTCTTCCGCACCCTTCCTGTGAGGGGTGCCGTGTGTTTCCCGCCCAACTGCTCCACTCGCACACCCACCGGCACGCTCATGACGACGGCCCTGTGCGCCTCGCCTGCTGCACGCATGAGGAGGGGCCGCGACGAACGGCGCGCTGAGGGAGCCGTGACGTGTGGGCGTGCGACGAGGGCCTGTGGGGCGGAGCACACATTTCTTCCCTCTTGTTTTGTTTCCTTTGCGGCCAGGGCGGGCAGACACCTGCAGCGCCACACACACACACAGCCACACCCTGCCGCCGTGTTTTCCTTTTCTTCTCTTTTGCTGCGCTCACTCCCCGATGGAGAGACGCGACCGCCGTCGTGTCTGCGTGCTTCTCTCAGTCCCCACACACACGAGTGACTGTGCTCTGCGGGCCGCACTCACGCGCCGATGGGAGGGCTGAGCGGAGCAGCAACACGCAGATGACCCCATGAAATATAAACGATGCGCGGACACATGGAGGGTCGGACGGTTGAAAGACATTTAAATATCTTTTAATTTTCTTTTCGGGCAAAATATATACGGACAGTTTGGTGTGGCCACACGGCAGCCGGCTGCTTTTTTAAATTTGTGTGGAGCAGTAATGGATGATTTCTTTTTATTTATAATTATTTTGTGTGATGGGGTTTATATAAGATGAAGGGGAAAGCTCTTTTCTTTGTTTTAAATAAATCTTGTGTGAATTGCCGCTGCTTGGGCTGCGGTGCAATCGTGAGTTTGAGCGGTCTTTTACTGCTAGAGGCATCGATGGTTCGCTTCGACGATTGTTTTTTTGGTTCCCATTGCGATGGCACGAGGGTTACTGGGCGCCGGCCTGCTGAGTGCACTCGGAGGAGAGCGGACTGTGTGCGCCGTGCCTCACTGTGAGTGTGGGTGCCAATCCGTCGGGGAAGAGAGAAGTAAAGGACAGCGCCGTGGATTTGAACTCGACCCTTCGCTCTTGTTGCGGCTGCTTTCTTTTTTTGCGGTGCGGCGTTGATGGCGCTGCTTCTGCGTGCGTTATGCGGCGGGATTTTCCTTTCCATTTCTTTTTCCTTTTGTGTGTGGGAAAACTGTGGGAGAGGATGTGTTCGGGAGAGTGAGTGTGGGTGGCTGCCAGCCTCGCCCCGCGCATTGAGGAATTCCATACACGTGGCTTTGCTTGACGGCGTTTCGCGGCACCCAGGGTGTAGCGAGGAGGAGGATGAGGAAGATCTGTTGTGGGAAGAAGGAGGATGGACAGGACAGTCCCCTTCTGTGTCCTTCCCTGTGCTGTTGGCAGTACATACTGAGAGCGTAAATTTGAGCGAGTGCGGGATGAAAGGTTTATGCCGCTTTGTGTGTGCTACTCAGTCGTCGTCATTGCAGGCTCTCGTCACGGTGCGTTGCAGTGCGGTGCTGTTTGATGAGGGAGGGGCGCGATGCCACGGCTGCTGCGCACCACGACCATTTATTGCCTCTGCACCGTCATTGTTGTTTTTCTCAGTTTCTGTGGCTTGTTTTTTTTTTAAAGCTCGCATAATATTTTCTTTTGCTTCACGATGAATTTGTTGTAGGAGCTTTGATTTTGGTCCCTGCTCCGCGGCGCTTCGCCTTTTGTGTCGGTTGCGAGGATTCCACGTGGTGCCAAGGCGTTTGATGGGGTGTTTATTCTTCCTTTTGCGCCCTGCAGCTAATCTTGTTTGGCCATGGCGGCAGCACTGGAGCTCTGCGACTGCGCGCTTGCCGTGCGTGTCGCATCTCCCGCTTTTGCTCCCTCGTTGTGTTGGTGGGGGAGGAGGCGGGCGACTGCGTCGGTGGAGTTGCACCCCAGTGGGAGAGGGAAGGCACCGACCGCTGCTGAATGCGACGGTCTTTGCTGCAGACGATGTGACGGGATGACGTCACCGGTGTCACAGTTAATCGAGATGGATGAGGGCCGCACTGCGTCTCTCACCCCTCTCATCATCCCTCCGTCCACTGCAGTCACACGCCACACGCACCGCAGAGCAGCGGCGCGACCACCATCCGGATGTCTGTGAGCCAATTGGAATGCAAAATCGATGTGGACCCTTTTCCCCGTGTTTGATTGCCGCCACCGTGCTTCTTTATTTTTACTTTGTTGTGTGGGCCGTGCACGTCTGGTGCCGCTGCCTGCTGCGCAATGCCGAATCGCATGAACAAGAAACGAAGCTTTGGTTGCTGACGACCGGCGAGCTCTCCACTCCACTTACGCACCACCAACACCAACAACGACCTTTCGGACGCGCTTGATGGCTGGCGGTCGTAGCGCTGCCACGTGGTCTGCCTCGGCTCTTGTGTGTCGTGCACGGCATCGGGACCGCCCTGTGATGCAGCCATTCTGTAACAGGAGCGGTGCCAATGGTCATGTGTCTTTTGCTGGGATGGCGCCACTCTGCATGGTTGTTGTGTGAAGTTGCGTGGGCGGTGGGAAGGCGATGGTGTCACTGACTTGATTGCGTCTGCGCTGCTTTGTGCCGGCAGTTGTACTGTGACTGTTATTGTGTATGACCGGATGCCTCTGCGTGCCACTGTGTTTGGTTACTGTTGTTGCTGCCTTTTATTCTTATTTTGAGCGTGCAGTTAGAGCTATTTTGGCTTGACCAGCACAACTATCGTTTCAAGGTGTTAGGGATTACTTGCAGTATTAGGTTTAGCAGTATTAGTATAACGATCTGGCGGAATCGTGTCACTGGATTCGCAATCTGTAGGAAGGGATTTGCTAGGCAGGAATTATGGTCGACAGGGCGGGTGTAACACACCACGAGAACCCTGTTGATACCTGTTTGTGTATGTGGATGCGGTCTGCGGTGGGTGCGTGTCCGCGCAGCCGGCACCGTGTGCGGCGCAGGGCCATTGCGACTGTGCGTGTGGCGCTGCTTGTGCTGTTGGCGCTGTTTGCTGCTGCTGCGTGGGTGCCCGCGGTGCATGCGGTGGTGTTGCGACTGCGGGGCGGCACGGTGGACAGAGCCATCACGGTTGGCCGCGGCGTGGACACGGTGCTGATGGACGGCGTGTCCATCACGAACGGCGTGGCTGTTGTGTTTGACGTGCCGGCGATGCTTCCCGGCCCGCTGCGCATCGAACTGAGGAACTGCGTGTGCGACGGCGGCGCGCAGATCTACGTGCGGGGCTACAGCGGCGAGCCGGCGAGTGACCGGAGCCTGGAGGTGAGCGTGAGCGGGCTGTCCGGCGGCTACTGCTCCCTTGTGTTTGTGCACAACCTGCCGGCACACACGAACGTGACGGTCCGTGACTCGACGATTGTGACGGCGGGACCGATGCGCTACTCTCAGCTGGGAGGGCTGACGGACGCGGTGGCGTCGCCGCTTGTGCTGCACGCGACGTCGCTGTTGCACACGCAGCTGCGTGTGAGCAACACTGTGCTGAGGTCTTCGCAGGCGGGCGGGTCGGCGGTGCACGTTGGCGGCGGCGTGGACCTGCTGTCGAGCGCGGTGGTGCTTGACGGCGTGTTGCTGGAGGCGTTGGGCGGTCCGACCGCGTCCGCGATGCGTGTGGCGTCCTCGTCGCGCCTCAGTCTGCGGAGCCACTCGGTGTTCTCCGTGACGAACGTGTCGGTAGTGAGCAGCGGCGGCATTGTGCTCGGAGAGCGCCTCGCGGTGCTTGATTCGGTGCTGCGCTTCGTGGGCGTCGAGGGGTCTGTCGCGTCGTCGCTGGTGCGCTGCGACGGTGGGACGTTCGGTGTCGGCGGGTGGGTGGAGCTGCACGACGTGTGGGCGGTGGGCGAGGCGTCGTCGGTGGCGTCGCTGTCGGGTGTGACGTTGAGCGGCGGTGCCGTGTCGATTGCGCGCTGCACTGCCACCGGCGCGACGCTTGTCTCCGGACTGGCGATCACGAGCGGCGTCGTGTCGGTGCAGTGCAACCGTGCCGGCGGCCGGGTGCTGCAGAGCAGCGGCGACTACCGCATGGCCGGCCTGCCCTCCGTGAGCGTGGTGCCGTGCGACGGCTGTGCGGCTGCGCTGGCGTGCTTTGATGCGCTGACGGCTTCGTTCACCGACTGCGTGTGCGGCTGCCGCGCCGGCGGCGTGGGCGAGGCGTGCCTGCCGTTCGACGTGCCGCTTGCGAGGGCCGGCGGCGGTGGTGGCGGTGGGCAGGATTGCGTGAGTGGCGTGACGCTGACGGAGTCAGTGACGGTTGGCGGCGGGCAGGCGACGGCGTGCCTCGACTCGGTGGTGTTCAGCGGGCCGATCACTGTGGCGGTGAACCTGCGCTCGATGGACGCGTTCGCCGACGCGCTGGACGTGACGCTGCGCCACTGTGTGCTTGCGGGTGGCGCGCAGCTGCGGATTGGTGGCCTCAGCGAGATCACGGCGCGCCTGATGCCCCACGCCCTCGTCAACTTGACGAACGTGACGTCGCTGGAGGGCACGATTGTGCTGCATGGCGCGATGCCGCCGAATTCGAGTGTACTGCTGGCGAACTCAACGCTGCGCGCGACGGTTGGCGGGTCGCAGTACGTGCCGACGACCCTTGGCCATGCGGGATCCCGGTACGGCCCCGTGCTTGTCCTGGACGGTGTCCGGCTTCTGTCGACGCGGTTTGTCATGACGCGGTCGTTGCTGGTGTGTGGCGGGGACTCGTGCGCTGCGATCCTCGTGGAGCGCGGCCTTGACGTGAAATTGTCCAGCGTCTTCTACATGGACAACTGCGCTGTAAAGTCGCGGACGCACGTGATGTACGCTCTTGCGTCGGACCTGCGTGTCAGCGGTGGCTCCTTGTTTTCGGTGCAGAACAGCTCGTGGAGTGCGCCGAGCATCGAATACTACGAAGGCGCGTGTATGTTCAGGGATGTTGCGATGGTTGGCGGCAGCGTGCTGCAGATTGTGTCTAGCGAGTTCCGTCTTGGCTTCGCCATGCTCATGGCAAACACGCTGACTGTGACTGATGGCAGCTGGCTGGTGCACCGCGACAACGAGTTCCGCACCGCCTACGTTGTGCACGTGGACGGTGAGAACGGCATGGCGTTTCGCGGTCGGAGTGTGTGGTCGATACTTGACAACAGCTTCACTTACGGCTCGTACTCGTCGACCATTGTAAGTATGACAAGCAAGTGGTCACCACCATCAGACACGCACCCGATCATATACGGCGTGTGCAACGAGGCAAGGGGCTCTCCTGTGACGGATTACCGAGACGACCTCAATATTGGAGTGCCCGTGACGGTGTTGGACTGCGGCGCGTGCACGGTGGACGCCGTGTGCTTTGCAGCGAGGACGAGCAGCATCAGCGGCTGTGAATGCGTGTGCGCTGCTGGCGGCCACGGTGACACGTGTCTACCAGCTGCGGTTCCGGACGGCCTTGGGCCGCTCCCGCTCCCCGATGCGAAGGACACGGAGGTCCGCTGCGTGCACGGTGGCAGCATCAGCTCCGTGTACGATCCTGATCCCGGTGTGCGTGGTCTGTGCTTTGTCAGCGTAACCTTCACCGCCGCGATTGTGCTGGACCTGTTGCATTTTGACGCGCCAGAACAGACACTCAACATCACGCTGCTGCAGTGCGTCCTCATGGGCCTGTCGATCAAGGGGAGTGGTGTGCGAGTGCACGTGAGCGTGACATCTTCGATGTTGGATTCTGGTGCATTGGAGTTTGAGGGCGATTTTGGCGTGAACTCCCAGATACTGGTGGTGGGCAGTACGCTTGTGACGACGTCGAGCCACGCCATTGCCTTTTTGGATTTTGTTTTTGGTGCGAACTCGACGCTGCTGCTGCTTGACAACCGCATCGAGGGGAATAGGCACGCACTTAATTTCCCATTTATTGTTGTTGTTGATGGTGGCGGGGTCATTGTGAAGGGAAATATACTGAGGACAGCGGGGAATAGCGGTGCGGAATTAGCTATTTGCGTTCATGCTGTTGACGTGAAGAACGGCGGCTACTTTGGCGTGGAGAACAACTTGATGAGAGCGGTCGTAGGCGTTTGGTTTGTGAAGGTGGCCACCGTGAGCTCCGCGGGGCTGCTGCGAGTGGCGGACTGCACGTTCATTGGCAAGGAATATCTTTTTGATCCCGCGCTGGTGTATTTATCTAACTCTCTCATCCTTCAGGGTGGAGCGCAGTGGCGTGTAGAGGGCAACAACGTGAGTGCGGCCTCAGTATTAAGTATGCCGCGTTCTCAACAAAAAATTTATTTGTCAGGCAGCGGCACCACTGTGGTGCTTGCAAAAAACCGTCAGGTGGAAGGAAGTGCAGTCTTTGGGAATCTTCTTCCACCGAACACGATTGTGGCGTCGCCCGCGCGATTTGTGGTGGGGTGCAACCTGCAGTTCGGTGAGGAGGTGTCGTACGACGATGTGTTTCCAGAGAAAGTGGTGGTGTTCGGGTGCGGCACATGCAACGACGACGCGGCGTGCTACATGCCCGGGACGGAGTCGGTGGACCGCAGCTCGTGCTCGTGCAGCTGCAAGGACGGATGGCATGGCGCGTCGTGCCTTCCCTTCGAGGTGCCCGACACGGTTGTGCCGCCCTTGCCGGAGAGAGCCGTGGACGGCGACGCGAGCTGCGTGGTGAACCAGACGCTGACGAACCTCACGCTGAACATGTGGAAGACGCGACACTGCTACGTGGGTGTGACATTCAGCGGCGTGGGTGCTGTGTTGACATTCTCTCTCAACAGTATGCCGCTGCATCTCCCCATCAACGTCACGCTCACTGGGTGCACATTTCTTGAGGGTGCCGTGCTGCGGTTTGTTGGGGGTGCTGAGGCGGTCGAGTCAGCCGGCGTCCTGATCCGCGTGAGCCAGACGGTGATACGGTCCTCCGTCGTTGTGTTTGCACTTGCCCTCCCGCAGCACTGCGACATCGCCGTCACGGAGGTTGACGCGGTGCAGTTCTCTGTCGTCGACATACCGGACATTACGAGCAAAACGCTGAGCGTATTGTTACTGAAGAACGTCGTGCTGAGTGCGTCCTCGCTGTTGGTCAGCAACGTCAAGGCGTATGGATCGGATTACCGCGGGTTTGGTTTGCACTCGGTTGGGACGCTGACGCTGGTGGGTGGCAGCTCGCTGTACGCGCGTTACTTCAGCTTTGATGGATACAAACACCTGTTCTACGTGTACAGACTAAGTGTGAGTGATCACTCTGTTTTTGCGCTGCTCAACAATACGATGTCCTCCGGGGCAGGCCTCCTGGTTCAGCAACACGGATTCAGCGTGTCGGATCACAGCGTGTTGCGCGTGGTGGGGAACAGGGGTTCCGTGTCATACGCCATTTACGCCAACAAGTTGTGGACCGTTGAGCAGTCAAGCTGGTTGGATTGGCGCGGACACGACGTGGGA